TCAGACTCACTTTAAAAGTTGTGCCTTTCTAGCGCCTCTCCTGCTCCTCTCTCATTCTGTTCTTTAATTTATCCCCAGATATTCAGGAGCTCTCCACTTCTTTTTCACATTTTACCTTGTTTCCACTGTCCATCCTGTATATTGGATAACTGCCCTAAAAATGCTCAACCTACTATTTGGACCATGTGCTCTAACCAGTAGAAGTTTACTCAGTAGTCAATGGGAAGTATTTAAAGTCAAGATTCTCCCTGATATTCCAAAATGCATGGTTGTTGAACCTCAAAGAAGACAAGAAGGATGGCCTGTGTCTCAATCCTCCGGGGCCTTATCTGGAATCTGGTCCAGCCTATCTCCCTGATCTCTTCTCCTACCTCTCTCTTCCTCCCATGGGTTGCCCAAGCCACCCTGACCTGCTTTTGGTCCCTTGAACCAGACAAGCTTGGTTCTGTCTCAGGTGCTTTGCACTGGTTCTTCCTTCTCCTTGGAACATCTTTTCTAGGTCTTTGCAAGACACTTCTTATCATCTATGTCTCAGCCTCAAAATCACCTTCTCACAGGGGCTTTTCTTAACAGCCATCGTCCCCAGGTGTCCCTTGCCCCTAGTCATTCTTGATCCTACTACTCTTTTTTAATTTCTTCCTAGCATTAACTTCTCCAGGGAAGTATCTTATGTTTGCAATCTCTCTCTGTCTCCAACTTACTACCCACTATAATGTAAGTCTCAGAGGGCACATCTTTGCCACTTTGTTGGCTCCCATTACTGTAGTATCTAGAACAGTGCCTGGGACATGGTAGTAGAAGCACAATGACACTTTGTGGAATGAATGGATGGACACAGCTCTTTCCCGCTCATAAGGCTGGAGGCAGGGGCATGTATCCTCAGCTCTGTGGAGCTAAGGATTGTGTGACTTGTTCTTGCAAGTCCAAGTCCACCCAAACATCTGTAGAGAGTGCACCTCTCATGGGAAAGAGGCATACACCGAAGGATCCCAATTTAGGACAGAAGGAGGAAACAGAACAAGAGACAGAGTTAAGCAAAAGAAATCTGGTTAAAAGCGGGGTGGAGTAAGGTTTCAGGTGTAATCCTATATAATAAAAGTCTAATAAGCTAAGTGTCCAGTCGACCAGTCAGCTGTTCAACCAATCAAAGCATAATATGCTAATGATATGCTAAGGCCACACAACTATAATGTGCACTGACCACCAGGGGGCAGATGCTCTGACCAGTAGGTTAGCTTGCTGCTGGGGTCTGGCGGATTGGGACTGAGCAAGATGGGCCTGACATGCCCTGGAGCCCTCCCACAGCCCCTTCCCAGCTGGCCAACCCTCCCCATCCTGCAACCCTCCCCCTCCTGCATCCTTCCCCAGCTCTGATCGTGCACTGGTGGCGTCCCTGGCCTGGCCTGCACCCTCTCGCAATATGTGACCTCTTAGGGGATGTCAGAAAGCAGGTTTCAGCCTGATCCCACAGGCCAGGCCCAGGGACCCCACTGGTACACGAATTCGTGCACTGGGCCTCTAGTGTATAGTATATTGAAGTTGAACAGGTAGCCATGGTAATGCAGTTGTGACTTTGCCACAAACTCCCTAAGTGGCCTTGAGTCTGCCATTGCTCTACTCTGAGCCACACTTACAAAAAAGAGGAAGCTGGAAATCTCTTTGGTCCTTTCTAGTGACAATTCATTATAAAGGGAGGCCTAGGAGAGTATACTCGGTGCTAATGGTGAGGATTAAGGGACTGCAGTGTGGTAGTTCCACCCAGAACTAAGAAATGAGGTCAATAAGGTTTACCTTTAAGAATCAGTATCACTAATCAGAGGCCAGATATGCTGGGCTATCTGAGGGATAAGCTGGGGCTTCTAGGCCAGCAAACCCCCAGCAGTTGCCAGTTTCAACATATTAACATGTCTGAAGAAAAAAAAAAGTGTCAATTAGGGGAGTGCAAGGTATTCTCTAACCTTGGAAAGAAGAGACCAGGGCTGGCTGGCCCCTCTTACATGTGGTCAAGGAGAAGGGCCTTCACCTTCAGAGCTTCCCTCCCCAGAGAAAGGCTGGCCTCAGCGCCAGATGGGCACCGTAGCTAACAGGCTCTGAGTATTTTCAGAAGAGTGGAGGACAGTGGCTGAATTCAGACTGTTCATTGCCAGCTTCAAACCTTAACTACCACCTGCTAGCTACATGACTAGCCTTATAGGAGGCAAGTTCTTAAACAAGTATCCCCCGTTTCTTACTGTGTAACAGGAGTGATGACAATGGCAAGTATCCCCAAAAATTTCTGGAAGGATTATGTTACTATGTGTAAAGCACTTAGAACAGGGGTCTGTTATTATACTTTCATTGGCAAAGCCATCCTCTGGCTATCACGCTCGTCGCCGGTTTAATATCAAATATCTGTCTTCCTTCCTTCTGATGCTACTTTCAACAAGCAACCTACTCCTTCCCATGTGGGTTTGCTTACACAGAAAAAAAGTGCTTATCACAGAGCTTCTGAGAAATTCCCGTTGCAGAGCCTGCAATATCTTATGGCAGAACTGATACATTATCTCTAGTTACGCCTGGGCCTCGCAATTTGCTGGACCACAGAGGCAAAAGGCACAGGGTATGATGCGAATGGAGGGTTTGGGGCCAGAGGCAGATCAGTGTTGATTTCTAAGCCATCCCACTGGCATTCTGGTACCCACCTCCACCGTATTCTGCTGGGGTTAGAACGCAGACACTCCGATTTCCTGGAGAGTGATGTGTGTGACTCCTCAGTCCCCAAGGCAGAGGACAGTCCTCGCAGCTTTCCCACCCAGCAGTGATGTCACCTGTATCAGCTCCCTGTCTGATCCTGTGCACAGAAGCTGCAGTCCCTGCCTTGGGAACCTTCATAGATGAGAATAAAAAAGCTTTGGGAAAACTAGTGAGTGAAAACTATAGAAAAGAAGAAGCATTAGCCCTAACCGGTTTGGCTCAGTGGATAGAGCGTCAGCCTGCGGACTGAGGGGTCCCGGGTTCGATTCCGGCCGGGGGCATGTGCCTTGGTTGCGGGCACATTCCCAGTTGGGGGTGTGCAGGAGGCAGCTGATTGATGTTTCTCTCTCATCGATGTTTCTAACTCTCTGTCCCTCTTCCTTCCTCTCTGTAGAAAATCAATAAAATATATTAAAAAAAAAAAAAGAAGAAGCATTAATCCAAGGGCCCCACTGATCTGTCTGCAGTGACTTGCCCTGCTCCTCCTCGTCCAAAAAAAAAAAAAAAAATCCAAATGTTTTCATTTCCTTCGGGGACCCTTCTGGAATACCATCCACCCTTTAGGGGTTTGTCGAGTTTTTAAGCGTTCTCCATTAAAAGTGTGAGTCATTCTGGAAGGGTTAGAGAACTTTCAGTGATGATACACATCAGTGGAAATGTGTTCAATATTTCTTTCCTCCTGACACCTTGCTGGATTGGGTTTACCTTTAGGAATTTGTAGCTTTTTGAGTTTGTTTATGGAGAGAGGGGAGAGGGAGGTGAGAAGGGGAGGTAAAGGAGAACGTGAAATCCCTGGAGAGGCCCAGCAGATCTGCTCAGTGTGGGGATAGATCTGAGAGGCTGAAGGACCAGGAGGACTCTGGGAGGTTGAGCTATGACATGGGTTATGTTGGCATTTCCGAGTTGACCTGGGAAGGTAACCAACAATTATAATATTGTTCCCCTGGAAAATGCATCTTGAGCTCTAAATAAGCAAGTCGGAAAGGAACTTCTGAGATACAACCCACTGCACCTGAGTTCTTAAACGGGGGCTTCCTAGCATAAATCTTGGGAAGAAAGTCCAGGAAGCACGTGGTGTGACATTAGGGGCTGGGGGTGAAGGGTAGGCGAGAGGTACCGAGCATATAATGTGTGAGAAGCTGGAAGAATATTTGTCCCTGGGTCTGGGGCCAGCTATG